GATGGATTCAAGTTTAAGACGACGCTTTTCGCACATAGGAGCACAACAATTGCAATTATGTGAAATGTTCTGTAATGAGGATGCCAGGTCGAAACTCACAACACAAAGTCACATCACCAGGAGAAAGATGGCTCAGGGGCAGGCAGCGGCCCATTGTTCCATTACATAAAGGAGATCTGGATTGAAATGCAGCCTAAGGATCTTATCTTATCACCGGAACACACAGGCTACCAGGTGCTGTTTCAATAACTATAATTAATAGATATAACGTCTTTTAATCTTTCATTTAGTCGACCTTTACCGAATGGAACTGAATGCCCTGCAAGCTTTTTTGCGCCAGCTTCAGGGTGATTTGCATAATTTGTTTCTATAAGAAGTAGATTGAAGAAGACTTTTTTCTCGATTCCAAGATACAACGGGTTGTCTTTTCTATGGATCATTAGGATAAAGATTCGAACTATTTATTCTAGGCCCCAAGCACGGAGAATACCCAGTTGGAATCCAATCGTCGTTCCGTTTGAAAAAAAAGCTTTTCTGCTAATTTCTATTAACCGTGATGGGCATAAACAGCAGCGAAACTCTGTCTTGTACCGTACTACTCAAAATAGACTCAAACCTCCAGGACGTTGTCGAAATGAACCGTCCTTTCTGTTCCCCAGAATATCAAACCTACGTAATAGTCTCGTCGTAAAGTTGCGTTGAAATGGACTGATTATTGCATCAGAGGTGTGTTCACCAGAAATGAGTAACAGCAGATTGACTGTAACTTATTCGGTGACTTGATTTATGTGGAATATGTTGTTCTGTTCTCTGAACATTCCAAGGAAGTACGGCAATGCTGACTTTGTTGAGGGTGAGGCCCTGAAGCTTGATCTGCCATCAAGTCATAAATAGCAGTCAGGAGAGTGAATTGCCATCAATATTTCAATTGCATGAGAAGAAGGCATTTGCTCATCTGGTGTACTGATTTGTCTGACAGTTCATTCCCCCTTCCAGATTCCAGAAGAAAGCAGCTCCCGGCAAATTGTTCCAATGCAAATATATGTGCGTCGTTTCGACGGATTGTCATGATGTGCTGTCGCCACCCCGTTGCTTCTAGGCAGCGTTTAATCAGGCCTCGGCTCCTCCGAGTTATAGCATCTCCAGTCCACGGATTCAAAGCAGCGTCACTTGGCTGGGTACTGGCTAAACGACACGCATACACATCGATCCGCAGCCAACATCTAATGAGAAATACTACGATATTCAGGCTCTGGGAACAAAATCTTGATTTTACTTTTTAATACCTACGGACAGAGGCATATCTATCAGTATTCGGACAGGTCTTTCTTGCAACCAGCACTGTGAGGCATTTGTGCGTTAGTGCTCTACAGGTTCTATAGTACCAGGGGGCCATGGCTAACACGATGGGAATGTCAAGTTGACAGAAGCAAAAAGTTGCTGCATGTACGACAGTAGCGACTCACATAAGCCATGCTGTCCGGCATTGCACCATACTGGGTTTTCTGGTAAATAAAGAATATCATCACTATTTCTGTTTAGATATAAGTCATGCGTTTCAAGGCATAGTACTGTCAGGTTTTCGGCATATTTTGGCGGTGTGATTTTGACCTGTCCGTTTGCATTGTGTTGCATACCGTCGTACTGAACTCGCTTAGCTAATGTCTCGTCTGACGTCATGACTATGTGCCTAAAT